CCTGAGTTCTGTCCCACTGCCCCCCCCCCCCCCCGCCATTTCAGTACTTTCTTACTAGTGTCTTGTATGGCACACAGTGCTGCTCTGTGATTAATGCACCCGGGGGGGGGGGCACGGCCCCTTCTGAGAATTAATAAGGCAGACCTGAGCCCTGCCCCGCAGTCACCTGATGTTGCCGTAAATAAACATGTCGTTAAGCAATCGCTAAAATACTAGTGTCTGTGGACTGTTTTTTTCTTTTTTCATCCTCGTCAGAAGTGTGATAAATCCTTACTGTCACAGACTAATCCCCCCCCCCCATCTTGTTTCAGGGTAACTGTGGGGAGATGCTCCGAATCCGGCGGGTCCTCATGAACTCCCCCGAGATCATCACCATCGGCCTGGTCTGGGACTCAGACCATTCGGACCTGGCCGAGGACGTCATTCACAGCTTGGGCACCTGTCTGCGCCTGGGCGATGTGAGTGGCTCCTTCCCGGCGACGCGCCTCACATATTCATCGCTCATGTCGGCTGCAAGAGTGCAAATCATTTTTTTGCTGAATCATTGTCCGAAAAAAAATGTAAAGCTGCAACAATTTTTCTGTGCTAAATTATGAAGAATTATGCTAGAAAATGTGGTTGTTGTGTGTGTGTCTGTGTGTGTGTGTGTGTGCGCATGCTTCCCAATCAAAGTGTCTCCCATACTGTGCTTTCTACCACAACAGTTATGAAAAATGGATGCTTGAGTAATTGTGCCACATGACGACATTTAGCACATCTCGTGAAGCTGTTGAAGGCAGTCAATAAGGATTAAGATTTAAATTGGCAAAGGTGTTTTCCAAAAATGTACCACCAGATGGGCTAAACCCCCTGGACGGTCTGTTGAGCGGACTGATTAGCAGCAAGAAACATGACCCAGACATGTTCTGACACTCAGAACTGCATCAAAAAGCTTCGCACAGTTAAGTAGAGCGTATGCTGGCATGTGGTAATATTGCAGTGCTCCCCAGTATCCAAAATACAGCCCTCCCAACTCTAAAAATAGCCGGCTCCTTTTCTCCTCCTTGTCCTCTCTATTTCCCAGCACAGCTGCCTCTCCTATTAACATTTCTCCTCTCTGACTCTCTTTCCTCCTCCGTCAGCCCAGCCGGCCCTTTGCTCAGTGCTCTGCCTCTTTCTCCCCCTCCTCCGTCTGCCCAGCCGGCCCTTTGCTCAGTGCTCTGCCTCTTTCTCCCCCTCCTCCGTCTGCCCAGCCGGCCCTTTGCTCGGTGCTCTGCCTCTTTCTCCCCCTCCTCCGTCTGCCCAGCCGGCCCTTTGCTCGGTGCTCTGCCTCTTTCTCCCCCTCCTCCGTCAGCCCTGCCTTTGACCTTTGACCGTCTCCTCTCTCCACCACAGCTCTTCTACCGCGTCACGGATGACCGAGCCAAACAGACCGAGCTCTACCTGGTGGGCATGGTCTGCTACTACGGGAAGCACTACTCCACTTTCTTCTTCCAGACAAAGATCCGCAAGTGGATGTACTTTGATGACGCGCAGGTGAAAGAGGTGAGACCAGGGTAGTATATGCTGACCCAGACCCCTTCAGTGGATCATAGGGATGGCTCTGGGTGTGACAGCCGCATAACATGGCAGTGGGGGCAGGACAGGAGACTTTATATCGGTACAGGGTTGGGGGTGGCTTTAAAAATTGGTTTTGGATCTGCAATGGCAGAATGTGTGAACTCTAAGTGTTACCTGCAGGAGGCGCCCCCCTCCCTATTACAGGTTTGTGTGGAGCCCCCTCTTGGCCACAAAGAGTCACTAAACTAAATATTAAATAAACACCTTATTTAGGAGATGCTGAATCAGCATGTTCTGCGAACCAGCCAGCAAGCTACAGTCTTCTCACTCTACTCACTAGCTATTAATTCTGTTATTGCAGCATCTGGGGGAGCCCCAAAGTGACTCTTTGAGTGGGGCCCCTGGCTGTGTGGGGTTCCCCCGCAGCAGTGTGACGTAGAAGGCGGTAAGGGTTCCGCCGTTGCTAAGAGACGACCCATTCTGCCCCCCTCTGTGCCCCTTCCTACAGATCGGCCCCAAGTGGAAGGACGTCGTGTCCCGCTGCATAAAGAGCCACTACCAGCCCCTGCTGCTGCTGTACGCCGACCCGCGGGGCACGCCGGTGTCGGCGCAGGACGTCCCATCGCAGCTGGACCTGCATCGCTGCAGCAAGGCTGGATATGACAGTGAAGACTCCGGTAAAGGCTGCTTCCCTGGGCAGGACAGGCCACCGGCCAGCGCCGTCACGCGCTGATTAACAGTCGGCCGGTCCCACCCCAGAGCGAGACATTTTGCTAGTTAATGGATTTCAGTTATCAGTCATTTAAAATTCGTGAATAGTTACAGACAGACCTGAGCTGAGAGAAGCACCAGGAATACTAGATGGGTTTCAGATGTGAGGGCATGTCATGTGACCTGCCATGTGACTGATCACATGACAGGGATCTGTCACACTATCATTGCTTGTTGTGGTGTTGAAATATGGTTTCCTGATTCATTTCTGTGAGCGACACAGTGAATTTATGAATGAAAGCACAGACCACCACACACAAGTGCATAGACACTAGTTCTCCCAAACCACAATGTCACTGAAATCTGGGAGGAAGCCAAGGCAGAACATCGCAGCTCCACACAATAAGCGGACCCACAACTGAACAGACACACGGACGCCTTGCTGCTGAGTGTGAACTGGATGCCTCACACATTTTGCACCATGTTACAGTATGGATTTGTTCTTTGAAGAACGATTTGAAAAATAATTGAAAATAAAATACATTCTCATTGTTTTCTCATTTGTGAACCCGAATCACTGGTTTGAATTAGATTTTTTAGTACATTAGCTAGTTGTTCGAAGCCTATTAACACACAATAAATGATTAATTTAAATAATGACTTTATGCATTTCTGGGTAAAACCAGAAACGTCTGGAATCATCAAGTCATTTTTCATTATTCCAGTTAATCCATTATTCAGCTGTTCAGTTATTTATCCCATCTTTGGGTTAAAATGGTTTTAATTGCGTGACTTGTTCAGTCAGCAGCTTAACGATGCCTAATTAATGACGGACTGTGCCGGGATCCACGTGTTTGCGGCGCCCGTTTGTGACGCCGCCTCTCTGGTTTGCTCCCAGGTCGCGAGCCGTCGATCTCCAGTGACACTCGCACAGACTCCTCGACGGAGAGCTGCTCTCACCGGCGCCCCCACAGGCACCACGAGTCCATGGCCAGCCGCTTCTCCTCTGACTCTCAGGGCACGGTCGTCTGCAACCTGGACGGCGACCCGATCTGCCGCGGCGGCACGGATCCTGCAGGTGGCGCTGCGTTCCCCTCTCGAAGTTCGGTTCTGAACTCATCATCTGTGTTTCTTGACCATTGCAGATGTAATGTAGTTCAAAATGAAAGTTCGACGCATAACACAAACAGAGCCTGTTCAAAACACGTGACGAAAAACAAGCCTCACATGAGAAACTCAAGGCTTTCAGCTAAATTTGGAAGTTCCTCTAAGGCAGCTGACAAACAGACGACATGAAACGCTGATTCCTCAGATGAATCTCCATACATGTAAAAACATACGTGTTGTTTGCGTACATCGCTGTTATGGGGCCTCTGCCTGCTTTCAGTTTCAGTTTAACGAGCGTTCGGTTTCAGCTCAGAGGTGTGTGCTGTCTGTCCTTCTGCTTCTCTTTCTCTCCGTTCATTTTTAATGTCTCCTTCCCCTTAGTCTTTTGGATTCAGAGTGTTTCCTCCGTCCTGTGCAGGGGAGATCCTGAAGGAGCCCCTGGTCCCACGGACGCTGCCCCGGCCTTCCTGCAGCCGGCTGAAGGACTTCAAAGAGGCTATGGGTGGCAGCATGGTCCACAGCCGGCCCCTGTCATTGTCCTCCAGTTCGGGGGTGGGCAGCTTGGAGCCGGGAGCGCGGGCTCGCGACTGGGAGAACGAGAGCACCAGCAGCGAGTCCAAGTCCAGTTCCTCCTGCGGGCGCTACCGACCAGCCTGGCGGCCCAGGCGCGAGGCCCTAAACATCGACAGCATCTTTAGCCGGGAGCGATGGCGGCAGGCAGGGTTCGGCTCGCTGGGGCCCTCGCCGCTGCTGGAGGAAAGCGGGGCCCGGGGTGAGGTGTTGCCCGGGACTTCGGCAGCCGCCGGGCAGGGGGCAGGAGGTCCGGAGATGCTTGTCAGAACCAGCGGGTACCTGGCCCCGCCTCTGCCTCAGTCACTGCACAGCCTGGAGCACCAGCCGCGTTTGATCCAGAGGATGGAAAGTGGCTATGAAAGCAGTGAGAGGAACAGCAACAGCCCTGTGAGCATGGACATGCCCCTTAGCGAGGGGCCCAGTGCCGGCTCACACAGGTACACACACAGCTGGAGAAAGGCAGGGTCCACCGCAGCTCATGCAGGTACCCAATGAAACCGCTGGAGAGAGAGACAGAGTCCCACACAGGTCACACACACGTCCAGACACACTGGGAGGTGGAGGTCACATCCAACACATCTCACACGGGTGGAAAACCCCCAGAGAAAAGGTCCACCAGAGCTCACGCACCTTCAGGCCCACCTGGGAGAGCAGGTCACATCCCACACAGCTCACATGGGCGTGAGGCTCAGACTAACTCACCTCCACGAGGTTCCCACACACCCAACACAGCTCAAACAGGAACACAGCTTCTCTCTCGCTCAGCTGCTCGACCGCGAGAATGTAGGTGGCTGTCCTTCTCCATGACAGGGACGTGGGAACGAAGAAACATTTAATCTCAGGCCCGTCCTGGCGCAGCGTACCCAAGTCCAAGAGCAGCGGGGCCATCCTGCAGGACGCCAGAACGTCGTCCTGGACCAACAGTCATTTGAGCCTGGGTGGGTGAATGAGCACAACTGGCATGTTGGCGAACATGCTGGGCCGCCGCGGCCGTCCCACAATTCTCCAGGGTAACACGTCTGTGTGTGTGTCTGTGTGTGCGTGTGTGTGTGTGTGTGTGTGTCCTCCTGCAGGGGAGGGCCGCAGCGAGCTGGACGAGCTCCAGGAGGAGGTGGCACGCCGGGCGCGACAGCAGGAGCTGCAGCGGAAGCGGGAGCGGGAGCGGGAGGCCGCCATGGGCTTCAACCCCCGGCCAAGCAAGTTCATGGACTTGGACGAGCTGCAGCACCAGGGTAACCACGAGGAGCGGAGCGGGTGGCACGTGCGGCGGCGGGGGGCGGGGGGGGCTCGCCCGTTTTGGGGGACGGGGAACGGTCCTTTTCCTTGGAGTCTCGGGACAGGGTGCGGATGTGGTGAAGGAGGGAGTGTCCGTTTAAGCTCGGTAGGGGAATACGTCTCCCCGGTGGGCGCTCAGGTCTAGCGGGAAGGGCCGTCGGGCCGGTTGTTTGTTTGCCGCTCTTTTAAAATGAGAGGAGAATCGGTCTGAAAACGTGTAGCATGTGGTCCTGGGCCCAGCCTTCACCGTAAAGACGGGTCCTGCTTGTTTGCACGCCGCGTTTACCGGGGGACACACACAGACAGGCTGCCTGCCGGGACCTCCTGGGAGTCAGCCCCGAGTGCGTGGCGGCGGGGGCGGTGGCTGGGGGGGGGCTCTCAGCACAGACACTGCCCGCCCCCCCTCTCCCTGGCCGCCCCCTCCCTCGTCGCCCTCCACTCATAGCTCCCTCGCCTCGCTGTGTTATCCGCAGGGATGGGGGCCGGCCTCGAGCGCTCGCTTGTCGAGGCCGACTCTCTGTTAGAGCGGTCGCTGCGGCTCGAGCAGGGGGGCGACGTGGTGGCGGCGCTCTCCGTCTGCCACCAGGCTGTGTGTAAGTAACCCTAACCTGCCACTGCCTGCCGCTACTACCCCATAACCACCCCCACGCTCTCTGTCCGTCCCTCTGTCTGCCAGAACTCTGTCTGCTCCTCCCTCCCTCTGTCTGTCCGCCCCTCTCTCCTCCTGTCATTCCACGTTCTGCTCAGATTCCCGGGCGCTTATGCACCACCACACAGACCTCGGTGCTGTCGAGGTGGAGCATGTAATAAGCTCCTGCGCAGTGTAACTGGCCCTCACACTGTATTCCAGAATAAAGTTAGAAATGGAGGTCTGCATCTTAGGAACAGGGGTAATAAGCTCCTGTGCAGTGTAACTGGCCCTCACACTGTATTCCAGAATAAAGTTAGAAATGGAGGTCTGCATCTTAGGAACAGGGGTGTGGAAAAAAAGGAATTAGTTTTTTTTTCTCCACAGAAGTGGAAAACCAATTTAAATGATTAATAAACTGGAACAATGTAGTCTGTGTAGACTTGCCCAGCCTCACTATTTTTAAATGTCTCTCTGAAGCTATAATCCAGGTCGGTTTTCTGCTTCCGAGCTGCTTATACAGCCAGAAAGGAAGTGAGGCACTTCGTCAGCTGTCCACTTCCTATGTTTACTTGCCAGCAGGACTACAAGTGAAAAACAGGGCCAGTTCCAGCACTGTAGAATAGTCCCCCCCCCACCCATGTATCCCCGCTTTTCACCAAAGGTTTGTCCTGTTTTTCATGACCTGGTCTCAGGAGTGATTCTAGGGGGGGCTTAAACAGAGCCATAATTGATACAGAGGGGCCAAACTTACCCAATGATATGTTTTGAATGGGTGACTGACAAGGGAGGGGACCAATCAGCTACCAGCTGGGCGCAGTGCCCCTGTGGCCCCAGCCCTGTATATGACTGTATGCTGCTTCCTCCATAGATAAACCAATTCCCGGTTTGGGTGCAGTTCGTTACCCCAGTATTACAGCCGAGGGGTGAAGCAGGATCCTCCCCCAAATGACCTCTTAATGCGTTGTTTCCAAATCCGGTCCTCGGGTTCCGGCAGACAGTCCACATTTTTGAGGGAGCAAAAATGTGGGCTGTCTGGCAGGGAGCTTGGAGGGAGCAAAAACATGGACTGACTGTGGGTCCCCGAGGAGCGGATTGGGAAATATTGTCTTAATGCTTCATGTATTTGTCTGTCTGTCTGAACGTCAGTCTGTTGGTCTGTCTCTTTATTTACATCCTGAGGAGATTCTTACCCTGAATCTTTTTTTGTGTAGTTTAATGTTGAAGATTTTTCTATTTACCATTTAATTTAAAAACGTCTTCAGCACAAGTCCCTTCACTCTCTCATAGTGTGCCGAAGACATTTTTAATGCTTTTTAACACCCATCCAGAAACAACTTAACAGAGATTTCCCCCCCCTCACGATTCAAATGAGCACCTAAACTTCTGTCTGCTGCTGTTTTGAGAAAACGTCAAACAGATAACTTCCCACTTTGATAGTTTTCAGCTACTCCAATTTTATTCTTAAATGGAATGAACTATGCCTGAACCAGTCCCTCCTGATTTTTGTGTGGTGATCATAAACGTATGTATTTTTATTAAGGAGGATGCAGGCATATATTGCTGACAAAGATAACGACGAAACTGTCTCGGCTTGTGAGCCATGAGATGTAGCCCTATCTAGTCCTCAGTACCGTGACGTTGTCTCAACCTTTTGGTTTTTTTTTTGGTAACAAGCAAACAGTATGCATGCCCCTCATAACCTGGCTCTTTTGTTTCCTGCGTTTTTTTTTTGTGCTTCCCTTTCTTTGCATTGTTTTCTTTTGTTTTGTTGTTTTTTTCCGTTGTTTTCCTTTAGCTAAGCTAAGACTTACCATGCATGAGGGCAGTGATAACACTCATAGCAGGACAATGGCTGCCGATAAGAAGCTGCAAAAGTGCATGAGGAGAGCGCGGGGCCTACAGCAGCGCATGCAGCCGCTGGAGCAGGAGCAGCCGCAGCCGCAGGGGCCTCCCAGGTACCAGAACTGTCTCCTGTGTGTGTCCCGCGCAGTGCCTGTCACAAATTCACTATTGACCTTTTTCGATTTTTTTGGTTGGAATTTGATCCCCATTTCATTACTCTCAGTTCTTCACTTTTTGAGGGGGTGGGGGGGGGTCCTAGTAACATTTTACTGTTTTCTGAGGTTCTCTCGCAAACACATCGAGTAGGACGTCATCTTGGAATTTGGACTGAATGTCACCCGAACTCTGCTCTCGTCTCGCTTTGTTTTTCAGCTAAATCGAAGGCATAAATTGGTCTGTGCGCCTCTGGGTTGTTGTTCAAAGTGTGTGTCCATTTCTGTCCCATGTGAGGTAGATCTTACCATTTCTTTGATCTGACCCTGTGTGATAGACACGGGTAAGCTCAAAGCTCCATGGGCTGTCCATCATACACTCAGTCTTCTGTCAAGGAGTAAGGCTAAAGAAAACCAGACTAAAGAAAACCAGACTAAATAAATCCACCGCCAGCAAACACTCAGAAATTGTTTTTATTTTCAGTCATTTCAAAGCCGAGGTGCATCTTCAAGGTCAGAGCTGTGTTTGTTTTATGCTGGTTTCACTCATGTAGATGCTGTGCAGTTTGTGTCTGCTGCATTACACCAGTTGCCTTTATGTAAACTCCACTTTCTGTTCTGTCGATGGAATAAACTCTAAGTCACATTGGACTTTAAGGTGTTTGCCTGACAAATATGTAAGGTACCCTTTAAAAGTGAGTGAACACAGGTGGGTTCCATATTGTGGTATTGCTGTCATCATCGAGGAAAGGTACCGCGATAACATCATTATTCTGCGTGGCGAACTGAACGTTGGCTTTCGACGATGTTTTTAAATGGAGAAATCGCCTTTCCCGCCTTGTTGTTCATTATGGCTGCCTTAGGGACTCCTGCTGTAGCTTCCATTGATGCTTCCGCAGCAAACTGCAGACGTGAGGCTGCAGCCTTAAAGAGCAAACAGCAGCAGTTGCAGTGGAACTCCAGGAGATCCACACTAACCCATCTCTGCACTGTTGCTTCTCAGCATCCATTTATGCACTGGTATGATTTATTGCCCGGGCTGCTCTGAAACCTACGCAGTTACTGAACAATGTAGTACAGGGGTGGAGCGGAAGACATGGATAGGGATTCATTAATCAAGTCTTCGACATCGGTAAACTTGTAAATGAACCCCCCCAAACAGGAACTAATTAATGTAGGTAATGGTCTCTTATTTAAAGGTATCTTAGTACGCCTTTGTTTAGAGAATCCAAAATCCTGAATAACACCAGCCAAAAGTTGAAGCACGACTTAGAGACGAGCTTAGATAAGGGGGAACAAAATCCTCATGAAAGGTGTCTTGGAATAATTTTGAGTGGTGAGTAGTCTTTGAATTTCACCCAAGTCAGCACTATGACTAATCTCACTGGGGGGGGAAATTTTCCCCGGTTCTTGCCCTTCCATACTAAACTGAGCATTAGGCTAAATCCTCCAAGCTTCCTTAGCTGGTCTAACTCAGCCCCGGGCTCTGTCTCCAGAGGTCTTAGTAGGAATGGTGAAGTATTAGGGATGGTGAAGTAGTAAGGATGGTGAAATAAGGTGTAGAACCAACTGTTCACTCGAGACCCACGGGACATTTCTTACTATTGAACCCCAGACTGAAATCTCCTCCTTATCTTTGCTCTTTGACAGCAAAAGCCCCAAAAGGCAGTTTTGCTGAAGACTTTCACCAGTAGATCAATGCTCAGATGCCCATGGGCCTTAAATGGGTGTGTGTCACCACGCTTAGGGTCTGTAGCATCTTCAGCTATAAGATATCTGGCAGCCATAGATCTGATGTCTTGGTACAGTACCTCATCTAGGGTGAAGGAGATCTTTAATAAAAATGCATGCAGTGAGATTTGTGGGAGGATATATCAAATGTTTCCCTGTGCTGGACTGACTCAGGAGAGAAGAATGAGCACAGATAGTCAACAGAACCCTTTTGGATTGACTGGACACACTTTGACGGGTCCTACATCGTCCTCTTTTACAAAAGAAGCACATGTGTGGTTTTATATGTATTTCCATGTGTCAAGAGTGTTTTCTGAAGATACTTCCTCCACCATCCAGCTTTGCCTCCTTGACTTTCAGCACGATGAACAGCACAGCAGCTACAAAGGTACAAAAGAGGCGCTTCGTGTTGGGCGATGCCATGCCCTAGAACAGAGTCGGAGATTCTTAGGCATGTAGTTCAGAATATCAAAGCAAGAGACTTTGACCAGAGTCCTCTTTTAAGCTTGATGATGACCTTTGTTTACTCATCAGATGAGATTCATTGACCTACCTTCTTTGTTTTCCTGAACCCTGTTCCCGTTTCCCAATCCCCATCCCAACCCCATCCTAACCCTTTCAGTGAACAGCCTGGCGCGATCAAAATACTGCTGACAACCCATCAGGAAGAGGACTGGGATGCAGACCAGGATGCACCTGTGGCCCCGCCCTCTCCTCTCCCTAGTCAATCCTTCTCCCTTTCTAGAAACTTACACCCTGGACCCTTGAGCCACCCATCTCCCTGCTCCCCCCAACTTGTGGGGCAGAGCAAGGGCCCCAGCGGGGAGCACTCAGAGAATCTGCCCGCTTGTTCAGAGCTGGGAGAGCAGGAGATGAGAAGGGAAGGGCAGGATCATGTAAACCGCCGGGACGGGTCTGAGACCTCCAGCATAAATCCATCCTCAGGTCAACAAGTAGAGTCTGTCCATCAATGCCGCAACTTAACCTTGCTGCCCCTAGACTTTTGGAGGGCCCCAGGAAGCGAGAGGGAGGGCTGTACCCAAAGCTCCCAGCCGCAGCCTCAACCTCTCCCTGCCGCTGCGGCTTTGCCGTACCAGAGCTCCATGAAAGTCCCTGACCAAAGCTCAGCTAATAAGCCGGGGCCTCCACAGACTCTAGCAGCATCACCGGTAGAGCCCTCTGCAGAGAGGAAGGGCTGTGACTATCCAAGGTCTCCCACTCAACATCCAGTGCAGACCCCTCCTCAAATTCACTCCCCGGCTCCTCCCTGCACCATCCCTCGGCTGCAGCCACCTTCCACTGCTGTTCAGTACTGGTCATCGTGGAGCCTGGACAGTCCGGATAGTGTTATTATGGCGTTTTGCACTTCACCCAGCCGCCAGTTCTACTCCAGTTCCAGCATGCCTGGGTGTCCTTCTTCCTCTCAGCTAGTGGTTGATCCACCAGATCCCTCCATAGAGGGAAAGTCCCAGGCTGAAAACTCCAATTCTTCCGGTAATATTCAGCCTGCCACTAACTTATGGCGTGATGTCACTGACTCACCGGATACGGAGCTGGAAGTCCTCCACCAGACGAGCAGAGAGAACACTCCATACCCTCTGGAGCCCATGCAGAACATCTTTTCACCGTCTGGAGCAACATCAGGTAACCAACTCACCGACACAAATGAAACGTGCAACAGTGTCGGAATTGTCATCTTGTGCATTTGTTCTTCCTGCGTCATCGACCATCAAGGATACTAAGAATATTAAAGTCATGGTTTGTTGATGTAAGGAAGTCCCCAGAATTGGTGTGAACTTCCTCTGGTATTATTATTATTATTATTATTATTTATTATTCTTTTGTCTTTCAGTTCCTGCAGCTGGTGAGATGCTCTTGCCTGGGAAGCTCATTGGTGGACGTTCCAAAACCCCTACCGCCGAGATAGAGAAGAGTGTGTACCAGGCCCTTGGCTGTGGATCCTCTCTGGTCTCCTCTCACAGGGTATGAACCTCAATCTGCCCATACTCAGAAGAAGGCCATCAAGATGGCAGATAATGGGGGGGATATGTGAAACTAATGTACAAGTCATTGGAAGAGTAATGGAGGTGGCTTGACAGGTGGGGGCCATTTTCTGAAAGCTGAACTCAGATGTGTGGTGGACCTAGGTTGGTAATGCTGAGTGTCTCTGGTCTTCTCTCCAGTTTACTCCTGCTTCTAACCATGAGCTACAGCCAATGGAGTCGTGTGGTGTGGACGACCTGGGAGAGGAGCATGCTACTGCTGCGCAGGATGAAGGACGAGGCGAAACGCAGCTGTACAGTGTGGAGAACATGCGTCGCGTTGCCCGCAGCTTGAGCAGTACGGTCATCGGAAGACGCCAGGAGGACCTCAGGGTGTCCCGCAGCATGGTGCGTGATCCACGCTTATGTGTGCTTCACTCCTGGAAGGGCTCTTAACTTAGCTTCCCAGTGTAGGACCAAGGCAACAAAGTGGCCAATACAATCAGCATAATGCACTATGTATAACCACAGTTTAGGAAACAGATTTAACACGTGAGGCTTGGAATATGTTCCCCCATATGACTGCCATTGGTTCTGTACCATAACTGCTGCTCTGATCCATTCAGACTCAGTACCAAGTACCGTCACTCACTGCCAACACATTTGCGCATTCACTGGAACTAGGCCAGGCTGCTGCCATCTAGTGGATATATAAAGTGTCGCACTGTTCAGAGAAGGATGTCCATAAATTGCATGTGACTTTAAATTACACAGACCCTTACCTCTCTTCAGCCTTTTTAAGCTCTGTGTCTCCATTTGTGATTCATAGCTGATCCCAACTTTTCACTTTTGTCATGATTAACTGTTACCAGAACAAAATGGTTCCTCTGGTTTAAACTCTGGTTTTTCCTTTGTGAATAATATGATGCCTTTTCCGTATCCGCTTTTGATCTCTCTCATGTTCTCTTGCAGGAGATTCCCAGGAGGTCCAAGAGTTTCTGGCTCTGCCTGACCGGAGTGAAGCTCTCTCCGGTGAAGTCCACCACCGTGCCGCACTGAAGGACGAGACGCAGTGGATGGCCAGTGGCATACCGGCTCGCCCATCCCATCCAGGGCCTGCAGCTCTCCTGCCGCGATCCAGCTGCCTGGACCTGCTACAGGCAGTGGCTCAACAGGATCAGCATGCTGTGGCCTGTGTGGTCACCTGTCCATCTGCTCGGCACTATGACCGGTACCCCCCGCCCCACCCCGTCCCACCCCGCCCCGTCTATTTCACATGCAGCACCGTACGATGCGCCCCCCCACCTGAAGAGGACAAAAAGAGACGGCCTGTGACCCGTCCCAGAGCACTGCACCTCCACCACCAGCAGTTCACCCTGACGGTCTCTGGGCCCCCCCTCAGCCTTGTGATCTGTGCCAACATGAACCCGTGAGACTCTCACACAACTACTGCCAGTTCCATGGAGTTTTCTGGACTTCCTCTGACCCTATTGGCTGAAAGCCCTCCTCTTCCTACTACAGCACCCAAACCTATTGGGTGGCCCTGCTGTGTCTCCCACCCCTTTCTAGTTATAGGGAAGCTTAGGAGTCCGCTGCTGGGAACAGGAGACTGCAGGGGCCTCCTGATTGGCTCCTCGGCCTTAGGACGACCTGTGTGATGTTGCGCTGCCCCTGTTCTGGTTAGCATGGAATCATGTGGGGCGTGCCTCTGGTCCAAGGGAGAGGAGCCAGGCACTACAGATGTCCGCCTCCCAGCAGCTGAGCATCCACAGTGAGCAGCTTAAGAGCCGAGATGTTCCAGCAGAAACATCAGCTCCACCCAGCAGAGCCAAAACAGTAGCCTATCCATGTCATTTTTCTTTTCTAAATTTTAACCAGTTTTACGTTTTTCTTAAGAGACTGTAGCGGTTCTCTCTCATCATTAAAGGTTGAGTGTGGTCCATTTCTCCTTTCCTTTACTAGTTCAACGGAAAATTGAGAGTGACAGGAAAAAAATTAGCCAGCAGACGTGTTAGTGTAGCAGGACCTGGACTTACACCCAAATCGTTGCAGGTTTAAAGCCCAGGAGGAGAGTCTCTGTTGGACCCTTGAACAAAATAATAAACAAGAATCATGAATTATTTAAGTTAAAATATCCTACTTTAAAAATGGGTAACCTGTAAAATAAGTTGTAAGATATGTACGTTGTTTGGATAAAATTGTATGCTCAGAAACAAAAACAATAATTAGATATGCTATTTTGAAGATTAAAATCTCGATGTCTGTTGTTTAAATTAGGGAAGTCTGTAGGTTGTTGCGAATTGACATTTTTTATGTCACAAAAGCAAAAAGCAGTCTCAAGGAATTTTTATAGGTATCTATCAAATTAAAAAAATATTTTTTTTAATTCAAGGAAAATAACTTATATGTGATCAGTGATATTCGAAATGTTCAATTATGTTTCAGACTAAAATGACTGCACCTTACATTTGATATGAAAATGGTATAATCTATTTAGTAATAATGCATTTGATATTAGGGCAGTATGTACTGTAATGTATCTGACACCCCGCTTCAAATGCTTAGGCGGTCAGGTCGTCGTCTAGGGTCGGTCGTTTTGATAAAGCTGCTCCCGTCGTCTGTGTCGAGGGCGGGGAAACGTCTGCATCATGGGCAGGAGGCTGTGCTGATCATTACCCCACGGGTTCTTCATTAATTAGCCGTAGTTGTTTTTTTTTGAAGGCAGTGAAACCCAGCGTGTTTCCTGAAGACTCCTTCATTGTTCTCAGTATCGTCTTGTAAGGCCGAATTCCTGGAGAGATCTTTCTCATCATGAAAAAGTGAAACTTAAACCTTTGTCTGCTTAGGATTAACATCACGCACGTTGTTTATATCGTGAACTAACGGCTTAAGTTTTATCCGATACAAATAACACCACTAATATGGGGAAAGTTCAACCAAGGCTAATCGATTAATATCTCGATGGGAATGACAGCAGCCGGTCCTCGGTGCCCATAATGCCTGAGAATTCCCTGCCCTCGGTCTAACCTGAACTTTCTGAGCTTTGTTAGTCTCATTTGTGAGTGCTGCCGTTGTTTCCCCACTACAGCCATTCCGCTCTGGCTCCCTTACGGATGTAAGCCTCCATACTTTAGCCAGCCTGCGGCTAAGTCTCGCTGGGAGGACGTGGTTTCTTTGGTACCGCAGACTTTCTTACACTCTGTGTAATTCATGGCTGACAAACCACAGCAGAAGCTGTTGAGCAGCCTATGTGACAGGCACTCGCCCCCCAGGGACCCGAATCGGGACGCTGTTTGCAGCAGGGAAGCCGCAACGTTCGGTCCATTGGACCACGGAGCATATTACATGCATTTATGTTATTTAGTTGATGCTATCAGTAGTTACAAATGAACCTTTTAGCAGTATTCGGACAGAACAGCATCAACGTGCTGCTGTATGGTAAATGAAAAGCATATTTTTTTCAGTATTTTCACTCTTGAGTTTTCACAAACTGTATATGCCTAATAAGTGTGGGTGTGCCCTTGGAAAATAATATAGCTCTAAAAACTCGAAATATATGTGGCTTAATTCACTTACTGAAGAGTGGACTATGTTATTGAGCAGGTGCTGAAAATACATACTAAAATCGGTTACGTTTGCTATTATAACATTTGGGCAAGTAAATTAAGTACTTAAAATTAGTTACGCAGCCCTTTCCGGGGGGGAGGGGGGTGTTAGATTAACCGGATCCAGTTGTTAAACTGACAGGAGTGGTTGCACAACTGAAATCTCTCCTACTATACAGTGAAATCAGTGTCGTCACCCTGAGAAACACTCAGGGCAGTGAGAAGTTCCTTGCATATTTCTTATGCTTTTTTCCAATAAGGGTGACAATGAGCTGCAGGTGCTCCTGCGTAGTTAGTGTACGATGGACCACAGAGCGCTCGCTGTCACATGGTAGGACGTGGTAGGTCTGTAAAACCACGAAAACATAGATAGGAGCATGGGGATTGTTTCCTCTAACACATGAAAAACTCCCCGGAAATCATCTCCAGGGACAGAAAAAGAACGTGTTGGAGAACCTACTCGAGAAAGAGTAACGCACATGATTACAGAAAGCCACAATTAGGCCCGTTTACTTTCCTGATTTTTACTAATAGGACTTTATACTATTGCTTAATAAGTAATAATGATTTTATTACTTAAGTCATTGGTAAACACTCCATCCTGTAACAAGAGGCTTCAGGAAATTATCATCTTTGTACAGAGCAATCAACTTAATGAAATGAATTGACAGTATTAGCATGTCTTGAGATACAGCATTTCACAAGCAATGATTGCAGAGGACTGGGAATTAATCCTGAATTATATTTTACGATTGAAAGGTTTATAATAGTCTAAGAGTTATGGCCATGCAGAGGTTATCTGTTAAAAAAAAATCACAGAACCTAGGTTTAAGCCCAACAAAGCACCAGGCAAGATATGCTATTGGTCCTGCTGTCTAATCTCAGATACAGGCCCGGTCATTTTCTTCAACGTCGTTAAGAGTTATGTTCCTGTCACAGCTAACAAGTGAAGCAAAGGGATTGGCATGGTTTATGTCTGTGACCTCTGAAAGAAAGCCGACACGGAGGTCGGGATTAATATGGGTTTGTTCAATACTCATTTCACAATGTTTTATATTTGGATTTGACAAAAAAGAAAATAATTTGAACCAAAAAATCCACCTTAGTTTCCTACTATGGATGTTAATTAATTGTCTGAAGTGCAAGAAAATGGATTGGGAACCAACTTTTACAATGGAACCAAAGAGAGAGATTTCACCTGCATTTTCCGGTTTATTTTTGTAACTCACAACAGGTTAAGAAATTTCAAGCAGCGCCCTAAGTATCGTTGCACCTTTATCATAAAGGAAATGTATGAATTTATGACATAATTCAGATTTATGATTATTTTTTTTTAAACATAACAAACATTGAAAAATTGCAACTCCGAAACTGTGTACATATGTCTGTGTGCAGCAATCGGCCTTTAAAATATGAGACCAGTGTGTAACGATGGATTTCTTGACAATGTAAGTGGGCTTTGAGGGATTTCCACTTTAACCCAGTTTGTAAATGTTGTGCTGGCAGAAGGAACTTGTATTTTTGCAATAAAGTTACTACAAAGCGCTCCAGCAGGAGCTGCAACCACAACTCCAAGGAGTCCCTTCTTGATTCCGCGCTTGATTCACTCGGCACCAACCCGACATTGCTTTGCACTGTCCTGTCTGCAGCTAGCGAGCGATTCCATTGCAGGTCCTGCACCAAGCAGTAAAAGGCAATATTCCGGCTCCTGCGACTCCCTCGATAGCTGCCAGGACAGAGGAATTGTTGCATATTGCCTTGAGCCTGTACCCGGGTTCATTTGTCTTATGGACAGATGAACAATAAGTTCCGATAACAACAATAATGTGATATTACAATGTCAATTATTTCCAGAAGACTTAAATACAAAGGGCTGTAAGATATTTACATTTTTGTTTGGCAGACACTTATCTAAAGTAGCATAAAGCTGGGTCAGACGGTCCCTGGAGCAGTGGAGGGGGGTTGAGGACATTCATTCCCCAAGGGCTCAGTAGTGACAGCAGTGGTAACTGACCTCCTCAGCCACATATTGCGCTACATCAGCTATAAGGAAAGTTTATCAGCCAACGAATGGCCGTTTGTCCATATGAACTGACATGGAAATGTGTCCCAGCACTGTCTGCAGGAATACTGAGGGCTTTCCTGTGTGCTGTGAGGTCTCTGTGTGGAGATGGTACAGATACCTCTACATCCCTGGTAATGAATCACAGCTCTTTAGAGGGGTTGTCTGGCCCAAAAGGTGCTGCCTACAGGGGGCTGGAAGTCACTCTGGATTTGCACCGAAGTTTGTCTCTTTTCTTTTCCTCCATTTCTCCGAATCTGATAACACAGCACAACACAAATGTAATTATGGGTTGAATGACGTGTGTATGATACAAGTCCGACTTTCCTAGCATGATTGATGGTTAGTGCCTTTGAATCTAAAATCCATTAAACTGGGGTCAGTTAAATCGAGTGTTTTCTGTACCAGTGACCCTCATGCAAGGCGGAAGGTATGAGAAACGCACCATCCTGTGGGATCCACTAGGTGTCAGTGTAAGCATGTATCTTACCATCAGTCTGCTGTTTAAGAACAATTTTGATC